GATGCACAGGATCATTCATCTGTCACAGTGGGAGCTGCAAGGCGACTCGCGGATTTCTTGTAACTCGGTCAGTGTGAAAAGGGGTTTGAGTAATAGACTGTTGCCTCCTTGGTAGGTGGGTTAAAAGGGTTGAGAGGTAGGGGGGAAGAGAAGGAAATGGAGTGACAGAAAGACTAACAGAAGGTGGAATCAAAGGAGAGACGAAAAGAATGCCAATCGATCGGTCGAACGAAAGATGGAACAGATAGGGGAAAAAAAAAAGGAAAAGAAAGAAAAAGAAAGAAAGGGATGAAGAGAAGGCCAGGGAAAAACTAAAACAAAAAATTAGAATGAAAGAATGAAAGAAAGAAAGAAAGAAAAAAGAAGAAGGCTAATAATTTTTTTTGTTTAGTATATAAAAAAAAAAAAAATGAAAGAAAGGAAACAATTTTTTCAAGAAGAATAATAGAGTAAAAAGAAAAGAAAGGAAGAAAGAAAGCAAGAAATAAAAAAGAAAGGAGAAGGATAATAGAGAAAAAAGAAAAGAAAGAAAGAAAGAAAGAAAGAAAAAAGAAAGAGAAAAAGGATAATAGAGAAAAAAGAAAAGAAAGAAAGAAATAAAAAGAAAGAGAAAAAGAAGAAGGATAATAGAGAAGAAAGAAAGAATAAAAGAAAGAAAAAGAAAGAGAAAAAGAAGAAGGATAATAGAGAAAAAGAAAAGAAAGAAAGAATAAAAGAAAAAAAGAAAGAGAAAAAGAAGAAGGATAATAGAGAAAAAAAGAAAAGAAAGAAAGAAATAAAAAAGAAAGAGAAAAAGAAGAAGGATAATAGAGAAAAAAGAAAAGAAAGAAAGAATAAAAGAAAGAGACACAGTAGAAGACTAATAGAGAAAAAGAAAGAAATAAATAAAAGGAGAGATAAAGGGAAGGTAGAATAAAGCATAGCAATGGAAAGAATGAAAAAATGAAAGAAAGAAAAAGAGAAAGTTAGAAAGATAATAGAGAAAAAGAAAAGAAAGAAAGAAAAGGAGAGATAATGGGAAAGGTAGAGAAACAAATGACAAACGAAGGAATTAAAGAACGAAAGAAAGAAAAAGAAAGAAAAAAAGAAGTAAGATAAGGGAAAAAGGAAAGGAATCGAAAGAAAGAAAGAAAAAAGAAAGTTAAGAAAGATGAGGGGTAATAGAGAACGAAAGAGAAAAAGTAGAAGAACAATTGAGAAAAGGGAAAAGAAAGAAAGAAAGAAAGAAAAAGAGAACACGTTTAAGGAAAACAGAACAAATGGAAGAAAACAACAAACTAAAAAGAAAGAGAACGAATGAATTTGAAGGAGGAAGGGAAGGAAAAATAAAAGAAAGAGAGTAAGATAGAAAGAAAGAAAAATATGAAGAAGGCAAAAGGTTGAAAAACGAAGAAAACAATGAAAGAAAGAGTGAAAGAAAAAGTTGAAGGATGATTGAAAAAAGTGGAGTAAACGATAAAAGAAAATGAAAGAAAAAATATTTTAACAGAAAAAGAAGAGGAAGAAACAAAGGAAAACAAGAAAAAGGTGGGAAAAAAGAAGAATTTGAAGAATGAATTTGAAGCAAAATCAGGAAAATGTGGAGGGAAAATGAAAGAAAGTAAGACAAAAATGTTGAAGAATAATGGGAAAAAAATGAAAACAATTAAAGAAAGAATAACAGAAAAAAGTTTGTAGATAATAGAGAGAAAAATAACAAGAAAAAATGAAAGAAAGAAAAGAAAAAGTTAAAAAGGGAGAAAGAGTTTGAAGAATAAAGGATAAAAAAGAAGGAAACAATAAAATGAAGAAATAAAGAAAGAAAGAAGAGAATAAAGTTGAAAGATAATAGGGAGAAAGAGAAAGAAACAAGAAAATAAATGAAGAAAAAAGTAAAAAGAAAGAAAGAAAAAACAAAGGAAAAAGAAAGAAAGAAAAAAGAAAGGAAAAAGAAAGAAAAGAAAAAAGTAAAAAGAAAGAAAGAAAAAAGAAAGGAAAAAGAAAGAAAGAAAAAAAAAAAAAAAAAGAAAAAAAAAAAAAAAGGCAAAAAAAAAGAAAAAGAAAGAAAGAAAAAGAAAAAAAAAAAAAAAAAAAAAAAGAAAAAAAGAAAGAAAAAAAAAAAAAAAAAAAAGAAAAAAAAGGAAAAAAAGAAAAAAAAAAAAAGGAAAAGAAAAATTTTAAAAAAAAGAAAGAAAAAAAAAAAAAAGAAAAAAAAGAAATGGAAAAAAGAAAAAAAAAAAGAAAGGAAAAGAAAGAAAAAAAAAAAAAGAAAGAAAAAAAAAAAGAAAAGAAAAAAAAAAAAGAAAATCTAAAAAGAAAGAAAAAAAAATAAAAAGAAAAAAGAAAAGAAAAAAAAGAAAGAAAAAAAAAGAAAGAAAGAAAAAAAAGAAAAAGAAAGAAAGAAAAAAAGAAAAAAAGAAAGAAAAAAAAAATTTCTCAAAAAAAAAGAAAAAAAAAAGGAAAAAAGAAAATTAAGAAAAAAAAGAAAGAAAAAAAAAGGAAAATAGAAAGAAAGAAAAAAAAGAAAAGAAAAAAGAAAAAAGAAAGGAAAAAGAAAAAAAAAAAGAAAAAGAAAAAAGAAAAAAAAAAAAGAAAGAAAAAAAATAAAAGAAAAAAAAGAAAAAAAAAAAATGAAAAAGAAAGAAAAAAAAAACCTAGAAAAAGAAATTCAAGAAATGAAAAAAAAGAAAGAAAAAAAAAGAAAAAGAAAAAAAAAGGAAAAAAAAAAAAAAAAAAAGAAAAAAAGAAAGAAAAAAATAAAGAAAAAAGAAAGAAAAAAAAAAAAAAAAAGAAAAAAAGAAAAAAAGAAAGAAAAAAAAAAAGGAAAAAGAAAAAAAAAAAAAAAAAAAAAAAAAAAAAAAAAAAGAAAAAAAAAAAAAAAAAAAAAAAAGAAAAAGAAAGGAAAAAAAAAAAGAAAGAAAAGGAAAAAGAAAGAAATGAAAAAGAAAATTCTAAAAAAAAGAAAGAAAAGGAAATGAAGAAAAAATAAAAAGAAAAAGAAAGAAAGAAAAAAAAAAGAAAAAAAAAAAAAAAAAAGGAAAAAAAAAAAGGAAAAAAAAAAAAAGAAAGAAAAAGAAATTAAAAAAAAAGAAAGAAAAGAAAAAAAAAAAAAAAAAAGAAAAAAAAAAAAAAAAAAAAAGAAAAAGAAAAGAAAAGAAAAAAAAAAAGAAAGAAAAAAAGAAAGAAAAAAAGAAAAAAAAAAAAAAAAAAAAAAAAAAAAAAGAAAGAAAAAAGAAAAAAAAGAAAAATTTTGGAGAAAAAAAAAATCAAGAAAAGAAATGCCAGAAGAAAGAAAAAGAGACAAATGAAAAAAAAAAAAACAAGAAAAAAAAAAGAAAAAAAAAAGAAAACAAAAAGAAATTCAAAAAGTCAAATTGAGAAAAAAATTTAGAAATGAAAGAAAGAGAAGCAAATAAATAAATATTCGTTGTAAGAGAAATATAATCTTAAATGAATTGAAAAAATGGGTAAAAAGAAATGAAAGAAGGAAAAAGGAAACAAATTAAAAAAGAAAGAAGAGAGAAAATTTGAACGAAGAAAAAAAAAAAATTTCAAAAATAAAAAATGAAAGAAAGAAAAAAAGAAAATAAAACATGCAAAAATGAAAAGAATTGCAAAAGAAAAAATGAAATTTAATGAAGAGAAAAATAAATAAAGGATCTAAAAACAGAAAAAAAAGAGAAATAAAAAAAAAAATTAAATGAAAAATTAATAAAAGAAAAAAAAATTGAAAAAAGAAATGAAAAATTTTATTTTTGAAGAAAGATTTCAAAAAAAATAAAAAAAAAAAAAGGAAATAAAAAAGAAAATGAGCTGAAAAAAAAAAAGGAAAAAGAAAAAAAACAATGAAAAGCAAAGAAAAAAAAAAAAGGAAACCAGAAACTCATAAAAGAATAAAGAAAAAAAAAAGTAAAGAATAAAGAAAAAAAAAGGGAAAAAAAAAATAAATTGTATGAAAAAAAAAAAAAAATCGAAGAAAATAAATGAAAAAGTTCTTAAAATTTTTAAAAGATTATGAAATGAAAAAATGAGAAAGAAGAAGAAAATAAAAAGGAAAAAATAAAGAAAAATCTTTAAAAAAATGAAAATGAACGAAATAAAAAGAAATGAAAAAAAAAAAATAATAAGAAAAATAAAATAGAGAAAAAAAATTTAAAGAAAGAAAGTCTATTTTAAAAAAATAAGAAAGGAAATAAATAAAAAAAAAGAAAGAAAAAAAAAAAGAAATCTTTAAAAAAAAAAAAAAAAAAGGAAACGAAAGAAAGAAAGGAAATGAAAGAAAGAAAGAAAATGAAAGAAAGAAAGCAAGAAAGGAAAACATTGAAAAAAAGAAAGAGCAAAAGGAAACGAAAGAAAGAAAAAGAAAGAAAAAAAAAAAACTGAAATGAATCTTGAAATTGAAAGAAAAAGAAAATTAAAAAAAGGGAAGAAAAAGAAAGAAAGAAAAGAAATGAACAAAGAAAGAAAATGAAAGAGTGAAGAAAGAATAAAAACAATGATAAAGAGAAAAAAAAAAGAGAAAAAAAAGAAATTTTTAGGGTCATACAAAAAAAAATGTTAATCTTGCAAATAAAAAATAAAAAAAAGAAAAAAAACGAAAAAATGAAAAGAAAATATTTTGTTTAATAAACGAAGAAATGAAAAAGGAAGACGATAAGAAAGAAGAAAAGGTAAAAAAAAGGCAAAGAAAAAGACAAAGAAAAAAGAGAAATAGGAAATATGAACAAAGAAAATTCAAGAAATTAGATATTTTTTTCAGAAAAACAAAAAAAAAAAAAAACTACAAAAATTTAAATTTTCAAATAAAGATGGAAAAAAAAAAAAAAAAATCAAAAAAAAATAATAATAAAAATAAAAAGTATCTAATATTTGGTAAAAAAAAAAAAAAACGAAAAATGAAAAACTATGCGAAAAATGAATTTAAATCGAGAAACACAGAAAGAAAATTGCATGAAGAGAAAACTAAATGAAAAAAAAAACCCACCGAAGACAACGCGAAAACGAAAACCCCTAAGTAACATAAGAAGAAAGGAATAAACTAAAACTCAAACAAAGCAAAGCAAATGAAAGTGAAAGTGAAAGTAAAACTGAAATAAATGAAACTGAAAGTGAATGTAAAACAGAAGATCTCATCTCAACGTCGGAGAAAGAATGTATTTTTTTTTTTTTATTTTTTTATTCAAAGAAAGAAAGAATAAGTTTTAAGAGAAACACACACACACACACACACACACACACACACACACACACACATATATATATATATATATATATATAGACAGAGAGAGAGAGGGGACAGAAAAAGAAAAATTAAGAGAGATAAAAGATAGTTTTTGATTTTAAGAGGGTAATTTTTCGATACCGGAAGTAAATGTTTCTTTTTCCTCGAAAAAATTTTTTTGCGCTCCGATCTTTAAATTTAATTAGACATTTGGGGATTCCATTTTAAAATTTTTTTAAAATATCCACTATCGAAACTTTCGTTCTAGCCAAGTATTTGCCGCGCAAATAAAAAATCCATTTAATTTTTTCGCCGTTATGTTTTCGGCATCTCACACTTCATTTAAAAGTAGAAAAATAACTAATTATTTGAAGATTAAATTTGTCATCGCCCATTTTATGCACTTCAAATAAGAACATTACGACTCAATTGCTTTTAACAACAGATTAATTTGTGCCAATACTTGTAACTATTTAAGAAACTCTTCGATAAAGAACAAAAAAATATTCAGCAACGAATGTTTGTTTAATCCAGTGGTTCTCAAAAATTTTTTTTAACATGCCCTATTTTGGTATATTTATTAAAATTTTATATCCTTCTAGTAATATTTAATTTGGTATCATATTCAAATTTTTTTTTAATTTATTCACGTGAAAAAGATATTAAAAAAAGATTGGTCTTTGAACAAGCCCAAAAGATGGGTGGTCAAAAAAGAAAAAAAAAAAAAAAAAAAAAAAACAAAAATGACATTTAAATAAATATATATTTCAAAACATATAATAGAGAACTGAATGGTTGAAAATAAAATATTTGAATTAAAAAATATATTTTTTTCATATAATCCCTTTTTCATTTTAATTGATTTAATAAAATAAAATTAAAAAAAAAAACTAAAAAAAATTCACTGTTAATTTCTCCAATTTTTTGCCGTTTTCAATTTTTTTATATATAATTGTTTTTGTTTTAATTTATTTTTTAAAAAATTTGTATATAGTTATGCTATTTTGAATATAAAGAACATCATTTTTGGTAACATATTTATTTTGTTTAATGCATCTTGAAAAAAGGATCCCAAGTCAATATTGTTTTTCCCATACCATAAATTAGAAATTGATTTTAATCCAAGCTTTCCATGAAAAAAAATTTGGTTTAATCTTTTAAAATTAATTAAAACTTTTTTCAGGTCAAAATTGATTTGAAAAATAAAATTCATATATTTTCGTTACATCAGAAATCAATATATTTTCTCTCGTTATCTAATTGTTTTGGATTTAATTTCCATTGATACATAAAAAAATCATCTGAATATTGATGACTGAATAAAAGATCTTTTTTCCTGAAGTTCGTGATATTATTTTCAACCCTTTTTCATTTATCTATCCAAACCATCCTTTTATATAACCTTTTCTGTCTATTTACTAATAGCTTTGTGAGAAGAAGAGATTTCATAAAATTTCAATTAAATGTATTCGATTGAAAAATCGGTCAGTATTTATTTTTTGTCTAATAGGATAATTATTTTTTTTTCATTTATCTTTCGATAAATGACTGAAATGCAAATAATTTTTCAACGCAGTTTTTGATTTTTTTTTTTTGAAACTTCATTTAAAAAAAATACATAAAAATGCCGGTCTGTTTTTCTTTTTATTTTTTTGTATTGTTTCATGAATTTTAAAAATTCTTTTATTCCCCTTCAAGAGTTTATATTCAAGTTCCTGTAAATAGGATGATTGAAGTCGAACTCAAAACTCAATTCATCAGTCCGATTTTAGCCATTAAAACGAACCATTTTCCAACTCTTCTATTAGTTTATTTAAAATATTTTCAGCATTTGTTGACTATTACATTCAATTAAATTCTTCGTTACATACACCCTTGTGCAAATTAATTGAAACAACCGCTTTAGTTTCTTTTTCTTCACCATACGGTCAGTTTTAGACCCACTGGAATGACAGGGTGCAATTGATTTCTATTTTTGCCTCAGATTAGGTCATTTGCAGTGGTGTGCAGTAATATGAATCTATTTTTGGGGTGCATGATGAAATTTGTTTGGCCTTGAAAAATATTGCATCATTCGTGATTGCATCAGATTTTTATCACTCGCAGACACTATTGTCTCGACTGTCGATTAGTTGTCTTACGACAATTGTCTGCGATGGACATTACTCCAAGAAGCGTACGAAAATTGTAACGCTGCACGAACACACTGGCAAGCCTTACCAGTGAGCAAATCAAAGTACTATAGACTGGCCCGGAAACTCTCCTGATTTAAATCCAATCGAGAATCTGTGGTCAATCTGCAAAACCTACGAATTCTTGATCAACGCCGAACGACATAGAAGTACTAATATGTGCGCTGGGTCATGTTTCATTTGGCAAAATTAAAAAAAATAAATAATAAATGGAATTATTTTACAAACAGTGTTTCCAATTAATTTGAATCACAGAATGAATAATTATTTTAAATAGATAGATAGTTATCTGGACAAAGTTTTTATTAAAATAATGTGATATGAATAAAATAGAAAGATGGATAAAACAGTTGAATATAGTTAAAAGAGGGTAAGAACAGTGATATGGATACATAGACAGATAAAATTGGTTGATATAGATATTTAGATATATTTTTTTTCAATAGATAAAATAGATAGATAGATAGATAAAACAGGTTGAGATAGATATCAAAATATATGAGAACAGTGATATGAATAGATAGATAAAACAGGTTGAGATAGATATTAAAATATATAAGGACAGTTATATGAATAGATAGATAAATAGATAGATAGTGAAGAAATGTGAATTGAAAATTCCTTTCTCTTTAGATTGTAAAATAAATTTTTTTGCCTCTTTATTTCCTATCTGCTGGAAGTCTTCGTTATTGATCCAGAAGGATATATATATATTTATATATATATTTATATATATAATAAATATAAACAGTCAAGCAAAATTTTGGAGAATCAATATCACCAAAATTTTGAACAATAATGGTGAAATAATGTCTAGACGTGTTTTTTCATTTATCAATAAAAATGGAAAAGAATTATGACGCACGAAAAATATCGTTTTCTGATCATGAGAATTTTCATGAATTACTATAGACAGATATATATATAAATATATATAATATATATATTATATAAATAAATAAATTAGAAATTAATTTTCAATGATGAATTCAGAAAGGAAATTAGCAGTTTTTTCTTTTTTTGTTGGTGATTTTTTGGCAAAAAATAAAGTATTCAATAAAAATTTAGATCTTTTGTGAATTCAAAACAATACATAATTTATCTTTTTAGTTTTTCCTCCATCTTATACATATTATTTGATTTTTTTTTTTTGTCCACTCAAACATTTTACCCTTTATTTTTTCAGTTTTTTCTCCATATATATTTTTATTGTTCTGATAAAATTTTTAAATATTTCAATTATTTTTTCCCAAATTTTTTTTTTTTTCTTTCATTTTTTCTTTTTTGAAGACACACAATTTTTTTTTCTTCTTGACTTTTTTTTTCCATTTTTTCATTTTTCCTTCTACTTTCTTTTTTCTAATATTTAAGTTTTTTATTTTTTCTGTTTTTTTTCATCCTTTTCCTTTTTTTTTCTTTAAAACTTTTTTTTGTAATTATATATTTTCCAAATCCTTTCTTTTCCAAAAATTTTTTTATTTTTTTTTTGAAACTTTTCTTTTATTAATTCATTTTCCTTTTTTTATTTTCTTTTTTTCTTTTCACTTTCCAATCCTTTCTTTTTCTAAAATTGTTTTCTTTCTTTCTTTCTTTATATTATTTCTTCTCATTTTCTGTTTTTTTCATAAATATAAAAAATTTTTTATTTTCTTTTTTTATATATTGTCATTGTTTATTTATTTTTTTTCTTTTATTTTTTCTTCGTCGTCTTTTTTTTGTCTTTATTTTTTTTTTTTAAATTTGATTTTTCCCTTTAAAAAATTTATTTCTCTTTTTTTCCTTTAACAATTGTTTTCTCCGAGGTTTATTCTTATTTTTATCAATTTATTTTTTTCTTTTGTTTTTTATTTTGCTTTTTTCTTTAAAATTTTATTATTTCTTTTTCATAACTTTTTCTTTTTCCTTTCGATTTTTTTTTTCTTTTCTTTTAAGTTTTTTTTATCTTTTTATTTCTTTCTATTATCTATCTATCTATCTCTCTCATTCCTGTTTTTATTGTTTCACTTTCTTTCATACTTTTTCTTCTCTCTCTCTCTTTCTTTCTTTCTTTCTTTCTTATTTATTTATTTACATAGGTATATACGATAGATACTATGAACCGCATATCAATAAAAATATATTGATTTTGAATCAGTCCAAGCATTATTCCTTTAACTATCTTGTAGAATAGGCCGTAGCACAGTGAGAAACTTACTCATCTTGCATTCAAGTGACATTCAATTCGTTCCTCTTGCTAAAAAATGACACGTTTTTTTTTTTATAATTGTAAATCATAAACATTACTTAAGACGTTTCAAAATTTTAAAATCTGTCTGTTATATACGATTACCGCCATTAGTTAAGACATGTGTTGCTTTCGTTTTGCATTTATTCTATCGACAAAATTTGTCTGCAAAATATCAATACAAGTGAGAAAAAGAATGCAGGCCATCGTTCATATTTAATTGCGAGTGAAAACACCGTAAACTGCGCAGACGAAGTTATATTGAATGGCAAGCGCGCCAGAAAATTATATTTACGCATCAAACAGAGTTTCACGCATGCGCACGTCCGCCATTTCTTTCCACATAGGTGGTCTTCCATGATAAATGTAATTCGGCGTCAATCT